TTATATCTTGACTACAATTAACAACAAATACAAAAATCTAATTAACAACAAGAGTGCCTGTACATAATGCTCAAGAAATCTTAACATAATAAATGCTTGCTTTAACACATTTTAAATCATATACGGAGGCGATATTGTTGTTGTTTCATTAAAAACTTAATTATATTCGAAAACAAACACAGATATTTGACAGCTACACATTAGGCCTAATAATATATCATATGACAGATGAACAACAGATGAATTCACTACAGGGAAATTCTGCCTGCATATTTAGATATTTAAAGCAGTTTGTCATTTTTTGGTTTATGTTTGTATCAAGTCAACAAGTCAGATTAAAGTCCACCAGTGAAGTTACTGTCAAACTTTCTGCAATACTATTAAAGCGCGTCGCTTGTGACATCTGTTGCAGAAAACGCATTACACAACTGTCAGAAAGCAGGAAGCAAACTAAACAAATAAATAAATCAACAGACAATATAAACAAAAACAACCAGCAATCACGAGGAGCCGCGCGCGCGCTTCCCTCCAAAACGACTTTTAAAACAAAACCGTTAAATTAACTCTTTATTCGCGCCCTCGATAACGTCATCTAACGTTACACAAATAAAACAGATGACATATTACAATACATAAATGGTTTAATTCAAGCGAAACGCTGACCTGTGCCTTTATTAAATTCACTTTAATACGTTGCTAAATGATTTAATTAGCCAGACCTTCCTCGCTAGCCTTAATAATGAGACTTACCAAAACAGCAAAGCAATGAAGCTGAGGAAAGAGTTTAAACGGCTCGTACCAGCTGCTGTCGGATCCAGCGGATCATCCTGCCTGAGCTAGCGCAGTGAGCTAGCCCGCTCCAGAGACACAGATCCCCGCAGCAGCAACAAAACCGCTTCCCCGGCGCGTCCTCCTCTCCGCATCACAGGGCAAACGAGCGAGCACCGCGCACGCAAAGCCCCCGGCCCATTCTGCTGCTCGAACCCAATGCGGAGAAGTGGAAACACAAGCACACACACACACCGACTGCGCTTCTCGGAGACGACTTCTGACTGACAACATACCGGAAGTGACGTCACCGCGGCCGGGCGCATCACACCTGCCACAGGAACTCCTCGTTGTGCTAATGCATTAATAGTACTTCGTTACAGTACTTAAGTATTTTTGGGGAGAATCTGTACTTGAGTTTTAATATTTCTGTCAACTTTCACCTTACGAAAATTAACCATGGTTTTATAAAAAACCTTGTTTTGGTGTATTGATTACCATTTGTATAACCACAGTTTTACTACAAATTTACTACAAATACCATGGTTAAACTATGGTTAGCATAGCAAAAGCATGGTACATTTGTGGTTAACATTTATTTGTAGTAAAACCATGGTTAATTTTCGTAAGGGCATTTCCTAAATTAAAATGGAAACTTTTACTCCGATACATTTACTCGAAGCATATTCGTTGCTTACTACAAAATAAAGTAAGAAAAACACAGACGGCAAGAAAACATGTTTGAAGAAGCTGGCGCTTGCAAGTTAAAACTTTTTTTATATATATATAATGCTTTATTGTCAACAAATAGCATGCACAATACCGCATCCCATAGTATAACAATGAAAACATTTCACATGCATCATAAACAAGTTAAGACTCCTTAAAAAACGACTTTGCACATATGCAAACAAGTGCTTGCACAACCGCGAACGATTTCATTTTCCACTCGCGTCCAGGCTGCGGTGTGTGATATTATACAGTATATCATCATATGGTAAATGTTGTTTTAACGATGTGCGATCTGACATTATCGAGTAAATCACAAAAACCAAACAAAAACACAAAGAGTGCACGCATACACCACTTGACTTAAAACGCATTTAGAATGATCACAATTCAAGGCATTCTAAATTGTAGGCGGCAAAAATGCCTCTTTATGTCTTTTATATTTATATCATTTAATATAGTTAATCTATATCACACGAAGAGTGCCCTGTTTTTCTCCTGAAAGAATCAGCCGTTTGAATGAATCGGTTGAATCTCAATGACTCACTCATTAACAGTGACTTGCTGCCACCTACTGGCGGCTTTAATTTCACATTTCAACTATTTTTCATGTTTTAATGTTTTAAATCATTTCATATATCAGTATTAAACGTTTTAAAACAAAGCATTATTTATGCATTTGTAACTGCAGGTTAAATGCATCCGAGTCCCATCTGAGCTGCATTAAACTGCGTAAATGAATCTAAATGCCACTTCAGATGCAGATCCCAGAAATGTTTTCTTATGTTGGAATGAAATAGACTAAGTACCGGATGAAGTGGCTCTTATGCTAACCCAAAGATACAAAATGGAAGAAAGAATTAAAACTGAACACAATCTTCCTGCTCAAACTGTATAAACATTTTATTTATTTATATTTAAATTTGCTCCTTTTCCATTTTGCATTTACTTGTACTTTTACTTTCAATACTTAAGTATGTTTAATATAAAAAAATAAGTTTCATACTTAAGTACAATAAATATCACATACTTTAAGACTTTTACTCAAGTAATATTCTAAACGATGACTTCAACTTCTACCAAAGACATTTTCTGGTAAGATATCTGTACTTTTACTTCAGTACTTCATCCACTACTGGTGATAACTTACAAAGAATCACAGTTTTATTGACTGAAATACAGACACTGGCATTCCTGACACAGTCATCATCACGTAATCCTCACTTTAAGGGAATAGTTCAGCCAAAACTGAAGATTATGTCATCATTTATTCACCCTCAGGTCCTTCCACTCCCATTTGATTTTCTGTGGAATGCAAAACAATAAGCTGGAAAAGGACAAATAAAAACATTAATAATGCTATTAAGCATTTTAAAAATTACATTTATTAATTTATGATTCACAGGGGATAAAATAAAAGCACACAGGTTTGGAATGGAATGAGGGTGAGTATATATATTTTCTTCCAAAAGGGTAAAACAACTCAATAAGTGTAATTCATTTGCTCTGCAATCAAAACTCTTTTGGAAGAATTGCAAATTCCAAATGGGCAGAAGGAATGCAATGAATTCGATTAGTCTTTTTTGATGAGTAAATACTGACATCATTTTCGATTTTTGATGAACTATTCCATTAAAGGTTTATTGTCTTGAAATAATGTGAATAGAATACAGTTACACATTATAAAGCCATAAACTGCTGTTATTTGTTTACTTTACTTTAAGCAGTACTGTGAAATATAGTACCCAAACACAGTCAACGTCTAGTTACCTATATTTACCTAACTCTAATAAAAGTAATGACATGTTTGATTATTAAAATAGTTTCTAAGATACATAGTACCTAAAATCAATAAATATCTAAATAAATAGCCTTAAAAGTATTACATATAGTTATGTATTTCCGACAGAATGATTCGGTCATGCTATCATGACTCAGTGGCATTATGAGGAACAGATGCAGAGATTATGACCACACCAGTAGTTCACACTGTATTGGAGCCTGTGCATACAGCATTAATCTGTCAGAGAGCACTACGTCATCTCAGCATCCAGCCAGAGACTCGGGATTAGTTTAAGAACATCACGGCTGTCAGAATATCTGCTGTCATATCTCTGCCTAATATTTGGGGGAAATCAAAACAGTCATAAATGTTCAGCTTTTGCACATCAGTAGGTTTTGCCTGTTCAGTTAATGGATGGGTGAACGGGCTGATAGATAGATAGATAGATAGATAGATAGATAGATAGGTAGGTAGGTAGGTAGGTTGGTTGGTTGGTTGGTTGGTTGATTGATTGATTGATTGATTGATTGATTGATTGATTGATTGATAGATAGATAGATAGATAGATAGATAGATAGATATTGCTATTTTATCACAATCGTGACAATTAACCCCCTCATTTGTGTTTCCGTGAATAGAGTTGTTAGTAAAATATACCGGTAAATGACTTCGGCTCTCTACACGTGCTTATTCCTTTATTAATGTGTGAATCGGTTTGATTATCACTCAATTCACTGAAGGCCGCTTCCGTTCAGGTGCCTTTTATAACACAACAGCGCCGCACTCAGGATAAAAAGAGAAATTAAACAGGAAAAAAAATTAATAAAAAGTGTTTTTTGATGTTCAAGTGGTCACTTTTATTGGAGAGATTGCTGTTCTGGATGGATGAACGTCTAATAGTTCCTGTGAGTAGCGTTTGTGAGGGAAAATATTTAGTATCGGATGATATAATGTTACGCTTGTAAGTGTCATTCCAGTTACCGAAAAATAAATCATTTTCGTTTTGAAACCAAATATGTTAACCAAAAGATGTAAGCATATAGTTAACTCATTACACTTATTAGTTTGGAATACATATTAGTTTTAGTCGCTTATTTATTTTATTTTTATTTGTTTGCCACTGAGCTGTAGGCCTACAGTGCTACCTAATTAGCTTTCCTTGCAAATGTTACCTGTTAGCTTATTTTTTTTTATCACAACGAAATAAAATAATAAAAAATGAATAAATCACATTAAACAATATTTTAATGGAAAAAAAAACGTTACAGAAGGACGTGCATGGAAACTGATGGTTGTATGTAATAGTGGTTCTGTATGCATTGCCACGTTGACACTGCTGTCCTGCTGTTCATCTCGTTGGAAAACTACTTCTTGGATATTATTATGAAGCAGAATGATACTGCCAGAATCTGCGGCAAACCTGTGGTCCACTGGAAGGGTCTGGTGGAAAATTGCTCTCCAGCTTGACTTTAGTACGGCATCTGATTGTTCATTGACGGACAATGTCCTTTTAAGAACTTTTATAACCTTGCACATCACCATAAATCATAAGCAGCATACGCCTATCTCTTCGAAATTCACTTAACTGTGCTATAAAATATATAAGCGCCCCCTATCTATCTAATATTGATCTAGCAATGCCACTGATTATACATATACTACATGCTATGTTTTCTTTTGCTTTACAATCACAGTGGTAGTATTTATTTTTGCAACAGGTGAGTGTTTTATCCAGTTGGCACAGCAGTTCAACTTTGATAGCTACAGTATCTAGCCAATTTAATCATCATGTGCTTCAAACTTCAATCTTCGGTTACCAAACGCTAGCTATTAGCTAGTGTAGTTCTATATGCAGCTGTAGTTTTAAAGATTTGAAATACTGTTTGTTTCTGCAGAAGATGAAAACACCACTCTGCTGTAGTCCAGATATCTGTGAGAAGCTTCACCAAATCCCACTCATGCACATGTACCCTCTCACTGTCTCTTCATACTCAACTTCCCTCTAGTCTGATGCTGTAGGGAGACTCAGATCAGGTTTGGCACATTTTCAACAAGATAAATTGTGATTTTCGAATGAATCTCAAATTAATGTTGTGGATCAAGGATTATGAAACATTATCTCAAAGGAAACCCAAACAAATTTTGTTGTTTAACTGCAAACTAAAATGGTTGTTTTAGACTGGTCTCGTGGTGATTTTCATAAAAGATTCATTTCAAACATTTCCTGAAGAAATATGGGCCCAACTTAATGCGCTCTTGTGGTCTTGGAGATTTGCAATGGCAGACACCTTTATATCAGTGCTTTCCAAACCTGTCCCAAACACTGCACATTTAGGATGTCTTCCTCATCTAACACACCTGATTCAACACATTAGATCATTAGTAGAGACTACAAGACCTAAATTTGGAGTGCGTCCAAAATTTCCAGGACAGGTTTTGTCCAATCCTGCTTCTGGAGGATCAATGTCCCGCAGAGAGAGCATACCATAGGATGTTTCATTTGTGACTTTAGGTTGTGGAAAGGTGTTCATGTGCATGATGCTACACACCAGTGTGGGCTCCACAGTGGATTTCTATCCTAGTGTTTCCCAACCCTGTTCCCGGAGGCACACCAATAGTATATATTTTCAAACTCTTCCTGATCAAACACACCTGATTCAGTTCTAAGGGCCTGTCCCAATACCCACACTTGCGGTCTTGGCCACTTGAGCCACACTAAATCCAAGCTATCTCTAATATCCCTTCAGCAGTATCCCATCATTCATCATGTTCAG